GGCGAGTGAGACGGGGGGCGGCGGGCGCGGCGATGCAAGCAGGGCATTGGGCGGGGCGTTAAACGTCGTGGAAAGACATTTCTCGCGTGTTTTCCCCTGGCGATTGCGAAACCATGTCGACACCGCCGCAACTTGCCCCGTGCCGCGCCTTTTCATTCATCAGAAAGGCGTTTTGCACTGCGCCGCGGGGGGGGGGAGCGAGAGGCAGCGGCTCCCATCCGCGGGCCACGCCCCGCCTCGCCGTCCCCGCGCCGCAGTCGACGCCGGGTCCGGTTTCCACCGGCGCACGTCGCCGCCACGGGAAAACGCGAGTTGTCAGACGCCCTTTTTTGGGGAAAAAAAAATGGGAAAAAAGCAAAAAACGGGGCGCGGGGAAGGCTGTTGGTGTGGTGCTGTGGATCTGCAAGTCGTTATGTTTTTAGATAAAGAGAGAACAGTTCTGCAAACCAACTTCACTCCTCGTGTATGACAGACGAGCCCCGTTTGGCGTTTGTCTCCTTCCATTTACGGCTCGGCCATGATTTGCTTGCCACTTACTCGCTTTGCTCACAGCCCTCGCTCACCACAGTTCCGCGCATTTTTTCTGTACTAGATTACAGCAACATCAGTGGGAAACCGGCATGTAATAGCTAAAACCACATCGCCACCCGCTTGTTGATTGTTTGCTTATTCCTTCCTTAATCGCAATTCGGCCAGTCACCCCCGCTTTCAATCACAAGACTAATTTGGTCCCATTGTCCTTGCGTTGTAGTTTTTTCATAATGGTGACATATTAACTAGATTCACTGCTTGTTCCTGCTGCCTTTGCTTCAGCAAGTAATTATCCAAAAGGGATAATGGTTTCCAACGGCCACAGACGCTACCTCTTTTCCTTACATTTAACGGGGGCATAGGTAGCAGTAAAACGTGCAAAACGGGCCACTTCATAAGGCGGGTACCTCAACTTTCAAAGACAAATTGCCTAATCAAACTTTATCAAACGGTCACCTTAAACAATAATATAAAAATAAAATTAAAAGTTATTTTAAAAAAGAATTTAATAAAAATCGGGAAAATGTGAGATTTACAGTAAATCTCAACCTCTTTATGTAACATAGGGAACGTCATTGTAAGGTTTTCCCTAACAAAAATTACACAGGGAGTTTACCTTGCATTAGTTTCTATTTAAGGTAAAAACATATTTTTTTAATGTCCCCTCTCTCATCTCGTCCGACTCCCCCTCTCTCTCTCTCTCCGACTCCCCCTCAGTCTCTCTCCATCCCCTCTCTCTCTCTCCGCTCCCCTCTCTCTCTCCGACTCCCCGTCTCTCTCTGCTTCCGACTCCCCCTCTCTCTCGTCTCTCCGACTCCCCTTCTCTCTCTCTCTCCGACTCCCTCTCTCTCCTCCTGTTCTCCGATCCACCTTCTCATCTCCGATCCCCCCTCTCTCTCTCCGGTACTTACCCCCCTCTGTCTCCTTCGACTCCTCCTCTCGTCTCTCTCCGACTCCCCCTCTCTCTCTCCGACTCCCCTCTCATCTTCTCCGACCCCCTCTCTTCTCCTCCGCTCCCTCCTTCTCTCTCATCTCGCGACTCCCCCTCTCTCTCTCCTCTCCGCTCCCCTCTCTCTCCGACTCCCCCCTCTCTTCCCTCGTTCTCCGGACTCCCCTCTCCCTGGTCTCTTTCCCGACTCCCCCTCCTCTCTCTCGTCCGACCCCTCTCTCTCAGCGACTCCCCCTCTCTTCTCCGACTCCCCTGCTCTCTCTCCGACTCCTCTCTCGAACCTGACTCCCTCATCGGCTCTCCGTCCTCGCTCCGCTCTGTCTCAGACTCTGTGTCTGTGCTCTCTCTTGTATCTGTCTCTGTTTTGAAATCTCTGTTCTTCTCATATATCATCTAGTTTGCAGATTCTGTATGGCCTCTGAGGCAGGTGGGGTAATATTGAAGCAATGGGCAAACCAAAAATGTAAAGAATGTCGGCCCCTCTCATACCTGTGGATTATGGAGAAAGGTTTCTTTGAACATTTGGACTGCAATATTTTAGTTTATAATGCCCTGAGAATGGCGACAAGTTAAGGATGTTTTGATATTAGCGCACGAGAAGGAAAACAATCCTAATACCTTGTTTAAATTGTATTTTATGGTAATGAAGAATGGTAAAAGAGAACAAAATTCATTTCAATAAAACTTGGAACAATTATATTTGATATACCTCTGTCCATAGCCACGTGCCAACTCTACGGTTAGATACAGGTACAGTTGTCCTTGAGATTTTTGGAGTTCAATCACTTGTATCTCGTGTCCATTCACTTGACGTTACTAACATTAAAATAATTAGAAATCCGTGGCGCCAGTAAAATCGCTAAAATTAAATCGTTATGCCCCACCTTAGTAAGCTGGCTCTAGACGAATTAATGTTTAATCACGATCGGTGACTTATCTTGAATTTTAGCTTAGCAGCACACATCCATGTCACGACTGCGTCACTATCGTAGTCCTAGAAAAAAATATGCAAAATTCTTTTCACACTTCAAACGAATAAAAAAATCTCTTGTCATTACTGTATCATTTATATCTCCGTGAAAACTTGTGCCGCAAATTCTCTGCCAACTACCCAAATATCGCCCACATTCACGCGTCACCACCACGCCCTTAGTGGCATTCTCAGCTGTTTCTGTCTTTGCTGCCCGCTCCTGCGCATCGCACTCAACTCCCCACCCCTCCTTCCGCGACAGCCGGCGTGCCGGCGCGCCGCGCCGGTAAGTGTTTGCAGATCCCCGACGGAATTTCTGCCCGGCGGTTGGGCCAGCGAGGAGAGAGCTGTGCGGCCCGGCGCCGCGGCGGCGTTAGGGGGAGGAAGGCCACGAGAGTCGGGTGGCGCGAACAGGGACGATGTGGGCGTGGGCGGGCGGCGGGGAGCATGGGAGGCTTTGAAGGCGCCGGAGCCATGGGGGGGAAGGCGGCCACAGAGAGGAGAATGGCATTAACCTCTTCCCTGATTAATTGATTGGGCGGCGTGTCAACAGCTAACACCAAATTAGACTCGTTAAGTGTAATGCATATATTTTTGGCGGGCAGTAGCTGGGTGATCCTCCGCCGGTAAACTCGGCGAGAATCGGTTGGTCCGAATCACTGGTGGAATGCAACCACGTCGGCCTTCCTACACACGGTAATCCTCAGAAAGAGGAAGCGGAGAGACTGAACCGGTCGGGAATGGGGGTGGTCCGGGATCGACGCTAACTGGCGAGGACGGGAGGCGGTGAGTCTCGGCTGGGGTTAGGGGCAACGCGCCTAGGGAGGGGAGGAGGAAAATAAGGGCTGAAGGCAAAAGATTACAGTTACACCCCAGGTGAGGGTACTGACAGACAGGGGTTGTGACACATGGGTGATGGCAACCTGTGGGGATGTAAGGTTTGGGGCCTGGAAAGTGTAGGGGCATGGGGGCTTGGGGGCGAGAGGCGTGGAAGCCGAGGGGCGTGAGGGCGTATTGGGGAGTGGGGCGTGGGGGCGTGGGCGGTGGGAGCGGGCACGCGGCGTTGAAGTATGGAGGCAAAGTTGAGTGTTTAAATGGAGACGTGGGAGAGTGGTGGCGGTGGAAGTGTGGCGGGCGTGGGGGCGTGGAGTGTGGAGGCTCGGCGGTGTGGGAGTGTGGGGGCTTGGGGACTTAGGGCATGGAGGCTGTTTGGCGATACGGGTTGGTGGGAGCAAAGGGAACGTGGGGAGACGTGGAGCGCGTGGCAAGTGTGGCGCGCGTGGGTGAAGGCCCAGGGATGTGGTCAGCGGGCATGGGGGCGTGGTCGGGAGCGCGGAAGACCAACGCTGCCAGGCCCGCTGGATGTGCAGCGCGTACATGCCCCGCCTGCCCTCGCTCGTTGCGCGCAAAAAACGTGCCGCCCCCGGGGAGTCTCGCCCAACGCACAACTTGTGCGACCGCCTCGTTTCCGCGCTGCCGTTTTAATGGAGCAAGAATGCTCGGCCCAGAACAACTTCTCAACTAAGCCGCGTGCTCAGCAATGCTGCCGCACTGTAATCTTTACCCCAAAGTGATTTGGCAGAAGGTTTGATAGTATTCTCACCGTATAGCGAATATCTTACTAAATCCACATTTTGCATTTAAATTTCTAAGACTGAATTAGAATTTAATTTACTACTCATTTTAGTTTTAAATTTTTCTGTATTATTGACAATCTTTTTCACATAATGCATTAGATTTAACTAATGGGAATTGGTAAAACTAGTTTGAGTTCTTTTTCGTAAACTTTACAACATTTTAGTAATGTTCAAAGAACGAATGAACGAGACGAAAATGTGTTATTAAATTTTAAGAGTATATTTTCTATCTGATCATATGCCCGTCAACCTACGTATACCGGCGAAGTAGAAAACATCAT